ATTTCCTAGGATGACAACTGATCTCCAAGAGACAGAGCTGAGTTCACCTGGAGGAAACAGGCACTTTGGAAGGTGGACTCTGTGGCATGATGCCCCAGTGAAGTCTCCACCCCCAAAATCTCCAATCATTTCCCATTCTGAAACTGGCAACTCTATCTGGGACCATACCGGTCACCCTGGCCATGTGCTTCCTTCTGTGGAGGCCTGGGGTACCAACTGCTGCCCTTTCCTGGCTTCACAGGCAAGTGTGGTTTTCAGAGGCGATTCTGCATTGGCTTTTCCCTCTGTTGTAATACAAAACCCACCCACGTTGGAAGGAACATAAATCCCCCTCTGCATTGCATACCTCCTTCACTTCCTTCGATCAACGAAATTTACGGTACCCTCCACACTCCATGCCGCTTCCGCTTTCTTTGATCTTCGGATTTTATGGTACCTTCTGCATGGATTTATGGCCATTCAGGGCTGATTTTGTCGTCTATACGGAGTTGCCCAGAGGTATTTGAATGTGGTTTTGAGCTGCACTTTTCCCTCCCGGTTGAGAAAATGTGGAGCTAATGCTAGATGCAGAATCGCCCAGGGATGTCGGGAGTGATTGTCCCTCTGATCAAACCAGAATAGAGGGCTGGTTTTTCTCTGTATGTGCAGCCACAGCCCTGCCTCTTGTGAGCCACTGGACACGCTCTCCCACCTTTGGCCCCTGCGCCCTTCCCTGCTATGGACCTGGGATCATCCTTGGGTTCCCGAGAACGCCACTTTGCATAATTTGTAGCAGGGAGCAGGATATACATTTTAAGGCAGGGGTGTCGAACTCATTCACTCTTGTGACTGGGGCCTTTCAGTGTCTGATCATTGACACCTCTTGCTCTGAATTATCACATCAAAATGTCTGTGCTGTAGCAATCTTGAGCATGCTGTTCTGGTGTGTCTCTGTAAGCTGCAAACCTACTTTTGATTTATCGACATTCACCACAGAAATCACATGCTCAGTGTTCTGAGTCTGGGACCCAGGTTAAAACATGAAATGGCCGAGTGATTAAGAGAGTCTGGCGAAGCAAGCTATGATGTAGCAGCAGCAGCAGAACTGGAAGCAGGAGATGGGCCAGTTCCACTGTGGGCCTGATAGTTGTGTATCCCCTGACACTATGAGGCAATATCCATTGCGCATGGCTTCACTGAGTCTCCTAAAAAGCCCCATGTGAGCCACCAATTCTCAAAAGTTCCAGCATTTACACACCATTCTCTGAGGGTTCCCAACTGAGGTTTATTCCCAAGGCCCCAAGGCCAAGTAAAGCATTCTCACTTCCAATCTGCCTCAGTCTTGTACAAACCGGTTACAGGGACATGCTCTTCATGTTGAAGATGGAGAGAGACCTTCCAGACAGACTGTAGGGTCCACGTTCGGGGACAACCAATCTCTACCACGCTGTAGCCTTCAGGCTAAGCAATATCTCCACTCTGACCTTGCAGTCTAGCAGCAGAGACAGTGAAAGACTGTGTGGTCTCCCTTTCCAACATGAACGGGAGCTGAACTGGAGGAGAAGCCGTCTGTCCGTCCATCCATCATCCATCCATCCATCCATCCATCCATCCATCCATCCATGCGCAAAGGTGAGTCACTTTGTAACAGAAACTGCTCATATTTTGCTTAGACAGAAAGATAGACAAGAATGGAGAACACCACCCTGACAGGCTGCATTAATGCCATCAGTGGAGGAAAAGGAGGAGGAGGAGGTTTGATTCCCCACTCCTCCTCCACTTGCAGCTGCTGGATGACCTTGGGCAAGCCCTAGTTCTGACAAGAGCTGTTCTTGGAAAAAAAAGAGCAGTTTCTGTCAGAGCTCTCTCAGACCCCCCCACCTCACAGGGTGTCTGTTGTGGGGAGGGGAAGGGAAAGGAGTTCATAAGCCGCTCTGAGACTCCTTTGGGTAGTGAAAGGTGGGGTATAAATCCAATCTCTTCTCTTCTTATTATTTAACTAGAAATAATGCCCGTTGCGGAAATAAATACAACGGGATCTAGAAAGAGGCGCTGGGAGAGTGCTCTGGCTTTGGGCAAACAGTGTCAGTTTCCTGTGGCAACCTCAGCAGGGTTTAATGACAGAGTCCACTGTTTTCTCTAGAGAGACTGATCTCTGCTACCTGAAGAGCATTTGTATGTTTGAGTTATCTGTAGCCCTCACCTGGAGAGTGGTAACCATTGTTACCCATTCTCCTCTCCCCTATGAGGTATGTTATGCAACTGAAAATTCCAACTGCCTTGGGGGGGGGGGGGAGTTTGAGGTGTGGAATGGACTGAAGTCCAATCAGCTTCCATATGCAAAAGACCAGGTTGTCGCAGCAGTTGTGGTGTGGGCGGGACCCGGGCTTTGCCTTCTGATTGGTGGCGATATATGCTGAGGAGCAGTGCCATCAGCCATACACTAAGGGAGTGCATTTTAGAATTAGAACCTTGGCACCCACTATTCAATTATATATAAGGACAGATTCTCACCAGCTCCAGCTCCCAAGAAGGCCAGATCACGTGTTGGACATGCAAAGCTGCCTTATACTGACTCAGAGCACTGGTCTAGCAAGATCAGTATTGCCCACTCAGATTGGCAGCACTTCTCCAGGGTCCCAGGCAAAGGTCTTTCACATCACCTCCTACCTGATCCTTTCAACTGGAGATTCTGGGCACTGAACCAGAGAGCTTTGGCATGCCAAGCAGGTGATCGGTCAATGAACCATGCCCTCAACCCCTACGAATGTTTACAGATTTGCCATTGATTCAAAGTTAGTAGCCTTGATGCCTGGCTTGTTAATCCCAAAACTATTAAAATAGTGCTGGTGAGCAACTCTTGAAAATAGCTTGTTGCTACAGAAAAGCTTATTGCTTTACATAACATGCTTTATGCATGGGCTAGAGACAGGGAAGTAAAAAAAGGAAGCGTCTTGCCTTCTTTTATACCATATTGGTCCCATACATTTTGATAGAGCTATAGAAATTATAAACTGCAGCAATTAATCTAACTGCCCTGGTAATGTGGACCATTATGGTCTAGAAAATGTTCCCACATTCCAGAGGCAATGGGGTTGCCCTGATGCTTTTAGCAAAACAATGCAAGATAGCATTTAAATCTCTAAATGACAAAGAACATGAATGTTACAATTTCAGGATGTTCTTTGTTTCCTTGAATCAAGGCAGCAGACAGGCACTGTCTGCTGGCTGGAGGTGTGATGTGAGTTTCTGCATGTAGGCAAGCCTTTAGTATTGCAGATATTCTGGCTTCCTTGACTTAATGGCAGGGGCCATTTTTTTTCCTAAATGTTTCCAAATTCTTTAGGTTCATGAACAATGTAATGCAAATGTTGGTTCCTGTGTACAATGGAGGAAAGATATCTCTTGAGAGAAAGGCCTAGCAAAAATCATGTTGGGAGTCATGTGCTGCTAGCTGTTTGGAAAGTTACAGAAATAGAGGAGAGAAAAACACTGTGATTTCTTTATAAAATTAACTGTATAAATGGGTTTTAAATATTCTGAACCAACTATGTTATTTTTCTCACAACAGTGGTGGTATGATACTATGTAAAATCCCAGCAGGCCATAGTAGAAAGGTCACAAAAGAGTATAGCCACAGTTGGTAAATAGCTTATCAGACCATTTATAGAGGTTGTTGCAGGCTGCTGGTGGTAGCATAGAGGGCTTTGCCACAGGTCGATTGTTGGAAGCGACTCCTAATCAAAGGAAGGAATCCAAAGGGGGGGAAGGACTGTGTGGAGACCTTGTGGGATGGCCAGGGAGGATGGGAACTCTAGGGAGATAGGGACTCTGGGGCAAGTGATGCTCTGTCATCTTGGTGCTTGGGGGGGGGGGGTCAAAATGGGGATGGCTTTTAAAATGGGTGCTCTGTCATCTTTGTGCTTGGGGGGGGGGGGTCAACAGTGGGATGGCTTCTAATGTCCTGGCCCCACTGGTGGACCTCTTGATGGCACTGGTATTTCTGGCCACTGTGTGATACAGAGTGTTGGACTGGATGGGCCTTTGGCCTGATCCAACATTGGCATCTCTTATGTTCTTATGATGAATCATCGGGACATGCCTGAATGCATCGTGAAAGATGGAGATCAATTACTCCAGGGGGTGTGATCTGGAGTGATTTAGGAGTGTTGTGACACCAGGTACATGGTAGTTGAGACAGAGGACGGGATGATTTTTTTTAATGGATAAAATCAGTCTGCAGTTTTGTCCTCCTCCAAAGGGTGTTCAGCTGCACCAGCAAATGAATTGAGACCGCTGGTAGAGAAAATGAGAGGAATGAGTGATTTGTTGGCAGTTGAGTGAGTCAAGAACTGGGAAGTCTTGAAGGCAGACACGGCAAGAGGGACCAGACTTCAGCAGTTCCTTTCCCTGAGCCTTGGATTTGTTATATAACCCATAAACCTGGAAGGCAACAATTTGTTCCTCATCCCCTTGAGGACTGACAAACCGGTGCTCAGAGGTGTTGCTCATCACAGTACCTAAGATGTGTTTTCTCCACCCATTTTTCTCTCCTGACAGGTGAGTTCTCAATGGGAGTGAGGAATGAGACACAGGTGGTGGAATTTGTCTTCCTAGGTTTCTCCGGCATTCCAGACAGCCACATCTACCTCTTCCTGCCATTCCTAGCCATTTACCTGGTCACTGTACTAGGGAACCTCACAATATGTACTCTGATTCAACTGGATCCCAGCCTCCATACGCCCATGTATTACTTCCTCAGCCATCTCTCCTTCCTAGACATCTGCATCTCCTCCGTCACAGTCCCCAAGATCCTGGTGAACTTCTTGCGCCAGCGACAGACCATCTCCTACAACCAGTGCATGGCCCAGATGTTCTTCCTGCTCTCTTTTGCGGGGTCGGAGGCTCTGTTGCTGGCCGTCATGGCCTATGACCGCTATGCGGCCATCTGCAAACCTTTGCATTACTCCCGCCTCATGACCACCAAGGTGTGCACCATTTTGGCCCTGGCTACTTGGATCTTGGGCCCCCTAGACTCCGCTCTCCATACAGTGCTCAGCACCACGTTATCCTTTTGTGGCGTCAACCAGATTCATCACATCTTGTGCGATGTCACCCCACTGTTGAACATTGCGTGCAGTGATACACACATCAATAAAATGGCAGCTCAGGTAGCAAACATTTTGGGGGCTGGGGGACCCTTCTTCTTCATCATTCTCTCCTACTGCCTAATTCTGCACTCCATCCTGAAGATTCGTTCCACCACTGGCAAGCGCAAAGCCTTTTCCACCTGTTCTTCTCACCTCATTGTTGTCATCATTTACTACGGAAATTCGCTAATTAACTACAATGGTTCAAGTGCTGGTGGTGGCTCCTTGGAGACTCCCACCCTGGCCTGCATCATGGACCTTATAATCGCCCCAATGCTGAACCCGCTCATCTATAGCCTCCGCAACAAGGACGTGAAGGGGGCCCTGAAGAAGGTGCTGGGAAGCCAGAAGAAGACCGCATGTCCCCACACTATAAGTTAAGGCTACGTAGCTTTAGAACTCTGTGAAGTGCGCTCTTATCTTGCTATAGTGACATGTTGAAGCGGTAAGGAAGACCCAGTTTCAGTAGCTGAACAGAAACACATGAAACTGGGTGCTGAGACACGAGCAGTGCACCGCACAATAAACCAAAGTCAAGAAATAAGAAAGGCAAAAGAATAAAAAGAATGAGAAACAATAGCCATAAGCAACTCCCAAACCAGAACTCAATCACCATAACATTAATACGAAGAGCTGTTAGCTCAGACGTTTTATATTGGGCTATTTCTGGACTATGTTATATGAATAAAGCTTGATGCAAAGGGCTAATAAAAAGAGACTGTGTAATAAAGAGTTCACCTTGAGGGCACCCAGAGAAGATGCCAGCTGAGGTTGATAATCTGCTGAAGCAACATCGTTCCAGAGGTGTCCTGGTGTCTCCGGCTTATCAAGAGTGTGCAAACACAAGGTTTACAGCAAACACAGAAAACTCATTAGTTAGCCCAGACGCTCAGTCTAAACATGAGAGGCTTATTTCAGAGTTCCCCCTCCGACAGACTGCTAGTCCACATGGAGAATCCACATGGCTAGAGATGAGTCAATGCTATTGTTGCCGCAGCACGTACCTCTTTTCCCATGCCCAGGTTCCAACGGCCAAAGTTAATCAATAGATTGGAAATTGACCCATTAGCCAATCCCCGACATGTAGGGTAGGGCCACCTGGTGTAAGCCGCCTGAGCCCACCCCCTCTTGCTCGCAAGAAGCTTTAAAACTTAGAACACAGAGCAGCCAGTTCACTATTCTCTCTTTTACCTACGTCCTCTGCCTGTCTGCTTTCCCCCTTCAATCCAGCTTTCTATCCAGAAACCCTTGCCTCGCTTTTACACCTTAGTCTGCAGCTAGGGTGCCACACGTGTTCTTGGCTGGTCTGAGTACACGCGCTTTTCCCGTTTACATATTTCCTTCCCTCCCTAATACCTCCCTGCTGGAAGCTTTAGGAGCCGTGTATCACCTGAGGTAAATATCACCCACCAACGATAACCTGCAAATGCGAAAGTGCTTTACCAAATCTCTTTGTTTTTACTTAGTTCTTGTGTGTGTGTATGATATTGTGTGCTTTGCATGATATTTAGTAAACTAAAGAGAATTTTACTTCTGTCTCTGTCTCTTCACTGGGAACGTATTGGTGCAGCCCATCCTCTGTAGACATTGACCTGAATCCCAATTAACAAACTGTTCCAATTGCCTCTCCTAAAGAGCAATTCGGCTAACAGAGCACTGCAAACTTTATACGACATAGGTCTTTCAAATGAGTAGGCGCAAATCTCTGACATGTAGAATGACATCTTGGCGACTCCGCGGGTGGTGGTGTTTTCAGTGCATCTGTAGTAGTTGGAGACATAAGATGATCAGATTCTCCATCATTTTGAACAAGAGGAGACACCATTTTGTCCTGCTTCTCAGTTTTAGTGACTGTGTTCCCAGGCAGATGTATAGTTGGACTTCCTAAATCTGAGATTGTCACGGAATTAGGGCTAGTTTGAGCCTCAGTCCTAACCCTATACTATTTCAATTTTTGTAGCAATTAGCTCCTGTAGTTGAAACTTTGGTTCCGTTTCCAAAGAGGCTTTAGGACACTTTGGGTGATGTGACCTTCTGGTACAGATAATGCTGTACATGTCTTTTACCTTACATGACTTCTGTCTTTTGGAATGTTTATATGCTATCATATATGAGCCCGTTCACGGGGAGGGCGGGTTATAAATTTAAATAAATAAATTCTAAATAGATATGAGTACAGAACGAAGCTTCCGGGGACTCTCTTAGCCAGCCTGGACTCTCTGAGTCAATCTAGTTGAACCCGGACTTTTCTTGACTTTCCTGACCCCAGATACAGAAAGAAAGGGCTGACTTTGTTGTATATGTCAGATGTATGTCAAACACTCGTCACAGACCTGACAGACAGTTACATTAGCCCCTATGAAAAAGACATACTTAGGTTGCGATCACACGCACAATTAGCTGCGCCATAGGCGTGAATGCCAGGCAGATTTAAAGGGTGCGATCAGACATGAACATCTGGGAAGCGCCTCGCACCTGTCAGCAACCTGTTTTGCTCCACTGCAGAAGACACAAAGACACAGGGGAAAGTCCGGTAAAAGGGGAAAGTCACAAAGACATGGGAAAGTCCGGTAGTAAATGGGTTGCTATGGGCCACAGACGGACTTTCCCCTGTCTGATTGCTCCAGCACGCTCTCATGGCGTCGGGATGTTCTGATCGGGCCATTCCGACTCTGTGCCATTTCCCCCCCCTTCACAGTATACGCATCATCCCACACTCCATAGGGAGCCCTCGTGCTGAGATGTGATCCATCAATTCCCCATTTAAGCGCATTGGGAATAAATGGCAAAAAAACCACACCTGACTCACCCGCGGTGTGTTTGATCACGCAGTGGTGTGCTGCCCCCACAGCTTCAAAGGGCTGCGTGATTCCTCCGGAGGAAATAGCCTCACTTCCCCCCTGTGTTATCTTGCGCGTGTGACCGCAACCTTAATGTCTGGATATAGTTTTGTTCCTTGTTGTTCAGGCCAGAGCATCCAAGGATATCCTTGACAGAATGACAAGTGCTCTGTTTATGTATTGGGGTTGAGTTGAAATAGTCTGTGTTGATTGTTGAAATGCTACAAAAGTGTTTTCTGACTTAAGAGTGGGTAAGAGAATAAACTATTATGGCCCCCATGCTGCTGGCATTCAGAACAACTTCAGACACTGCCCTAGCTTCATCGGACCACCTCACAGAAATTCGCCATCTGTACTCAACTGCACTTTATGTAATTTATTTGTGATTTGAAATTTTATAATATTGCATTTATTGTGTGTTGTTGCATTTTAAACTGTTGTACGCCGCCTTGAGCCTGCCTGTGCAGGCAAGGTGGGATATAAATTGAAATTAATAGATAATAAATAAATAAATAAATAAATAAATAAATTCCATCTTGTAAAGTGACCGTATAAGACACAAGTCCTGTAACTGTTCTCACAGTAGCAGGTATGCACAAAGGACCCAAGCCAAAGTTTTAAACATAGACTGCCTCTCCAATCATTTAAAAAAAAAAGTGGTTTTGCTTGTCGGTTCTGTTGCCCTTTCTGCTGTTGTTTATAGTGCATATGTCCTGTCAGGTATGGGTGTCACAAATCGAACCTCGGCCTCAGTTTCCTGCCCATTAACATTTCAGCTGGAGATAAACTTGTGCTAGAATGCAGTGAAATTCTATGACTGAGCAAATACTGAGTTAGCCTTCTAGAGAGACTTTTACCCGGTATCCAGGAAATGACTTCTTTAAAAGACTGCGCTGCATGTTCTGCTAGGCCATTCAGTGCCAGGGGAAGTGGTGCAAAGGTAACATGCTGAATGCCATATTATTCCATAAACTGTTTGAATTGTTAACTAGTAAAGGAACTTGCATTATCCATCACAAGCGTTTCAGGCAACACGTGCACACTGAAACACATTCTTAACTTTTCAATGGTAGCTTCACTATTTGATGTAGACATAGGATAAATCTCCACCCATTTTGACTGAGCATCTGCCAATACGAGGAACATCTTACCCAGATAGGAACCTGCATAGTCTACATGTAATCACCTCCAAGGTTGATCTGGCCAGTTCCAAGGATGAAGGGGAATCACAGCAGGCATTTTACGGCTTCCTTTTTTTTTAAGTCTGTACCATGTGCTCAATTTCCTGGTCCATTCCTGGCCACCACAGGTAGCTTCTAGCTAAGCCTTTCTTCTTAGTGCTCCCAGGTTGGGCCTGGTGTAACGGTCTCCTGTCCTTGTTTTGGAATCACCACACGGGTGCCCCTCAATACACATCCATCATAGACGCTCAGTTCCCATTGACGTTGGTAGAATAATATACGTTCTTTGTTTTCCAAAAATATATGGCCATCCTTTCAACATAGATTCCCCGACTTTGGCCAACATGGGGTCTGTATAGTATAGCTAGTATTGACATCATCTTTTGAGGCATATTGTATTGTGTGATTTTAATTTATTGTTTTATTTTAATGGATGTATACGTTCTTAATTTTAATTGTAAACCTGCACTGTGTGCAGATCAGTTTGTATGGGACCTGCCCCGGGGCTGCTATGTGGGGAGGGCGGGTTATAAGTATCAGTTCACGACTTTATGTCGATGGTGGAGTGGCAAGGCAATCTATTAGTTGTTGTTGTTTTTTAAACCCCTGGAGGGGTATTTTTATTTTTTCAATATGACTACAAACTACAAAGAAAAATATAGGAAGGGGAACTACAACTATGAAACTATTGGTTTCTAGAGCAAGTTTTTTTAGACTCTTGGGTGGGGCTGGGGGATGAGAGAAAGTAATGGAGGAGAAGAGGGTGGTCAAAGGCTGGAGTGCAACCTCCACATGCAAAGGCTTTGTATGTTCAAATGCCACCTGCTTGGAATCCATAGTGGTGGCAACTAGGACCCTTAATGCAGTGTTTCTTTGTTTCCCAAAAACGTTTGGTTGGCCGATGGCCGCTGTAGTGAATGGAATGCTGGACTAGACGGGACTGAAGGGAACCTCCACGTTTTCCGAGGCAGTGAACTTCTGAATCACATTAGGGAGCGGTGGCGCAGGCAGTTAAACGCCTGCATGTAACATCACTCGTGCAGCCACTGTGGCTGTTCGAGACTCACCGCGGTCGAGGTGAGCTCACGACCCTTGTCCTAGCTCCCGCCCACCCAGCGGCTCGAAAGCTAAATGTAATCTTAATGCGAGTAGACAAATGGGTACCTACCTTTAGAAGGGTAGGGGGCACCCTCCTCCAGCGAGGTGTGTGGAGGCGATAACGGTGGCGGCAATGGCGGCGGTGGACATCGGCTGCAGCAAAAGGGTGTTCCGGTGGTGAAGGCAGTGTGGCACAATGCAGCGGCGGCGGCAGCGAGGCTGGAGGAGCGATCCCTGGTGGCCAGCGGTAACATCGGGCAGC